ATAGGGGAAGTGTGGCTGCATGTTTGGAAGATTTGGGGGTTTTAACGCCTCAAAATAAAAAAAATTCTCTTTTGTGTTCTTGTTTATTAGGGGGTAGGGTAATTTTCCTATTTGTGTCCTGACAAAGCAGTCTCCAACAAAAAGTTAAGCCTGGCTCAACTTTTGCTTTAACTACTGTTCACCATCATTGTCAAAATGGAGGCTAAGCTGTCATAACTGTAACTCTAATCCTGGTACGTAGGTTTATAAAGCCCTCTGCAGTGTTCTGGCGTCTGTTAAGCCTTCAGAATTATTGACATATTACTCTAAATGCACTTCCTTGCTTTGATTATATCTTGTTAGCAGTACCTGTAGCAACATGCCCACACCCACACAGTCCCTCATGGTTTTTGTAAGCTGTGCTATTTTTGGTCTGAGAGCCCACTTAGTCTGGGCCTTCTGTTACGGTTGGTCTTAGCACCTGCTTCAAATGTTATCAGCCCATTAAATCACCATTCTCAGCTGTCATCAGTAGTGTAGATTTGGGGCAGTATTGCCCTGCTCCGCCTCCCATATTTAAGATTGTTGTTAGGCAGCAATCTCTCGTGGCTGGACTAATTATGAAGGGAGCAAGGAAGGAAGTCAGGTGATGGAGCGTAGAGAGCGCAAAGTCCATGTGGTGAAGGCATCAAACAAACACAGGACTTTCATTCAGGAAACAGCCGTTTGCAAAAAGTAAAAGTTGACTCATTTTAAGCGACATACATAAGTTAACTTACCTAACATACTTAAATACATCACATATGTAACCTATGTTAACTTACGTTTCATAACAAACACAGGACTTTCACCCACGAGACCACTGTTCATGTGATGTGTGTTACCAAAAGTTAAAGCTGACACACATAACCTATGTTGACTGACTTCCATGACTTAGGTTATGTAACAAACACACTTATTTTAACCCAAACCATGATCTTTTCCTAAACCTAACCAAGCAGTTTTTGTACCTAAACCTATTAAAACTGCGATCTCATTTCACAATGTTGAATGTTCACCTCTGGCCAACTGGTTTGTCCCATCTGAAGCATTAGAATGGTATTGATAACTGATAAGGGTCATTTAATGTGTTGATTACATTTGAAATGGTCGGTCTTAGACAACCTGTAACACATGAAGCAAAGTGTGGCCCACCCGTGTGTTACATGGTTGCTTTGAGAACCAACATGCCTAGGTTACAAAGGTGGACTAGTACTGTATTGTTGATGTATACACTACACAGGCAGCATGTGAACAGGAGGTACTGCACCACCCCTTCTAAGCAGGTAGAGGCAAATAATTTCCCATCACAGTTGATACAGAGGGATTATTTTAGCGATGTCAACATTCATTCAGCCAGCAGTCACACCCGATGGAGACGGGGTGCAAGCCACTGCCAAGAAACACTGGTAGGCCTTCAAAAAGGAGCTGAATTGTCCATTGAACTGTTCAACACGGCTGGCACCAGAGTAACACACAGTCATATTTTTGTGTCACTCTCACACCTGCCTGAAATAGATCTCCCAGCCGCCCAGCCCTAACTATAAGTCCTGACAGGTCCAGACTGCGGTTCACTGATTGCACTGGCACTGCGGCTAATAAAGGATGTCACTCTGTTTAACCAAGACTAGCAGGGTGCTTTTTTTTTTTCAGCAGGGGAATATTTGGAGTTCAGTTTTCCGCTGTTTTTGTTTATTCATGAGAGGGTGTCCTCCCAGTTACAGCTTTCCATTATTAACCTGGGCAACTGAAAAAAGAAAAAACAAAATAAGTTTCCATGGCTGTTGAGAGGGAAGGCAGGCCACAGAGAGTTCATTTATGTACGTACCTGCCAACAAACATGTTACTATTGTGTATCGTATCCTAGCATTCTTGTTTACAATATCATATATAGACCAGTAAAGTAGAGAAAAATCACCTGGCATGTTTTTTAAAACTAGCTTTACAAGCCCTTGTACCCTGCCTGTCTATATTATGCAAGGGGTTGAATTTTCGGAGCCAAATTCCACTCTGGACAAAATGTTCCCCAGCATGTCCAAGTTCCCTTATGCTGCATATTTGTGGTTATCTAGTCACTTCATGGAAGGTGAGACAGACTCAAAAAAGAAGAGCTGTCATGCGGGAGAGTTCGACTTAAAAGGAAAAACAGAGAAATGTGCACTGGCAGAGCGGATTGTGGTTCTTTTGTCAGCAGTGAGGATTTTTGTTTTTGAGAAAATAATCAAAACATTTGAATTAAATAAAATCTATCGAATAAACAAAATTAAACTAAATGCATTGGAAAAGCTGTTGCCAAAGACAACATGACTGGTTTGAAATATAGCATGCACACGTATTTTCATTCACAGTCATTACCTGTTTATCTGCCAGTCAAATTTCTTCATTTCCCAGAAGTTGTTGCAACTAAATAGTGACACGAGCTACCCCATTAAACAGCTAAAAATAGCACCTTGGTGTTGTCTTGTGGTGTAACAGTTGGCCACATCCTGCTTCTGAGATTCTCACATTGCTGACGGAGTACATAGATGAAAACACAGGGGCCAGAGTTTTACCTTTCTTGTCTCTTTATCACTTGTTTCTTCAGAATGGAACATCGCTGGGCATGCCAATGGAAAATATTAGTTGATAAAGTGCAGCGAAATAACACCACAGTTGATATGTGGGTGGAGGAGACGTTGCTTTCTTTTTTTTTCTACAGTGACTGAAAAGAAGAGGGGAAGCCACTGCTTTCCCTCTGAGAAAAAATAAAGAGTATATTTGTGGCTTCTTTTTTTTACCGCAGAGCTTTTGGGTTTTCCCTTTCCTTTCTTCAGAATTACCTGGAGCTGTTGTCTCACGTTGGCTAACAGAAAAGAGCTGCAACATTAAAGTTTGAGCATCTAATTGTTACATGTGCTTGCACTTCCTTTATGTCCTGCGATGGCAGAGCTAAAAATAACCTCAGCGTGTAAATGCCTGTTTAGCCCGGAGCGGAATAGAGTTGAAAACAGCCAGCAGTGTTGGCACAGGTGGGATTTTTCCGATGGGAGTTCCTCCTGTTTAGGGAGGTGAGTCCCAACCAATCTGTTTGTGTTGTGTGTGTGTGTGTGTGTGTGTGAGTGTGAGGATAGGTGGGTGTTTGCCTGCATATAAAAAGCACAGCATGCTATTATAGGTGTGTGGCCTACTTTAAAAAAAATGTGGTCCGTGACACATTATTTATTTATTTATTCATTTACACATTCATTTTTGTTTCCATCCTTGGTACTAAGTGTACATGTTGCTACTATGTGTCTTCACATTTCCAATAGATCAGTTCAGCCAACATCAGAGCCATTGTTATACAAGCAACAGTATGTTATTTTCATTTTTCTATCAGCATCATAGCTGTTCATTGTGGCACTGTGCCATATTCACAGCACAGAAATGTTTGGGTATTAAAATGCCCTTGCCTTGTTTTTTTTTTACCCCCTTATGTTTTCGTCTTGATCAGTGCAGATGCTTCACCGTTCACCACACAGTATCTAGTGATAACAAAGTGCAGGCCTCAGAGTGGGTGGACTTCCTGTCTCGGCTCCTTGCTGCAGATGGTGGTCTCACCAGATTTTGTCACACTCTCTCTCTCTCAGTCTACATCAGTCCTCTTTATCACGGCAAGCTCTATGACTAAGGAGCTTCTTGTTTGCGTTGAGCCACAGGGCTCAGGGTCCTCGCCATCTTCACAGTCACTTCCCTCTGTTGTGCCAAAGAACACAGAGCAGATAAAGGCTGGGGACTGATCTGTGTCTGCCCGACTGTGGGAAAGGCGCGGGCACAGGAACTAGAGCAGGAAAGACAAGACGATGACTTCAAAACAGAGATGTGTGTATGGGGCCGATATGAGTTTTAAAGGCTGGCAACGACAGTGATATGTTTGGATTGCAGCTACTGTTATCCAGCTTGACCACATTTATGCCAAGTATCCAGTGAAGATAAATACATGCCAAATCTGATATCAATGGATTGAGGCAAAATAGAAAATCTAACACAAAATTTGCAAATAAAACATGACTCAGATTTACAGTTACTGCAGTACTACCTTCCTCCAGATTTACTATGTGGTAGTTTGATTTATGACATTCATTTGGGGCTTCTGTGGCTGAGGCATGTAGAACAAGTCGTCCATTAATTGGAGGATCAGCAGTGCACATTTCAAAGTATACTTGGGCAAGATACTGTGAGTGCGTGTGAATGCTTAACTGATGAGCATTTGGCACCATGTATGGTAACCTCAGCCACCAGTGTGCGTGTGAATGGGTGAATGTGGCGTGTAGTGTAAGAGCAGTTTGAGGGTTTGGAAGACTAGAAAGACACTATATAAATGCAAGTCCATTTACCATTTAGATCAGGGATGTCAAACTTTAGTTCATGGGCTGCATGCAGCCCAATTTGATCTCAGATGGGCCGGACCAATAAAACCATCACATAATAACCTATAAGCACCATGAGCTCCGATATTTTCCCTTTTTTTGTGTAGAAAATTACAAGTAGACTCTGCAGACTTTCATCCTTTTGCAAAACAGATGAACAGACTTATTTCAAACTCCACACCCCTAGTTTGCAACAAAGATATTTTGCTATAAAGGCTAGAGTCAAAACTGAAATAATGTTTTCAGCTTCACAGTCACATACTGTAAGACGCTGCACAACTGCTGACACATAAACTGATTGTAATGTGTAAAATCTGTGGCATGACCCTTTAAATTAGCACACACCAACTGACACACAAAAAGCAAGGACTCTCTGGGCCCTTGGGTTTCAGGGCTCTAAAACAGTTGCTGACTTCGCTTGGCTGGAAATCCATCATCGACAGGGATTTAAACTGACAACCTTCCCATCACAAGCCTTGTCTCTGTAACTTCCAGGCCACCTCTCTTCATTAAATGTGATAGTGTTTTAATGATCTGAATTGTTACTCAATGTGACTACTTAATAATGATCCGCAACTTCTCTTCTTTCCGCAGTTAACGAGATCATCAGGAACGACCTCTCCAGCATTTCCGTGCACACTCATGCATAGACGTCCAGAAGTCTTCTGCAGCAACACACACACACACACACACACACACACA